AAGAAGAAGAGGTATGAAATAGTCGCTTAGGATGGTGGTAAGGTGAATAAAATAGGGAAATCTAATATGGTTGTCCAGTAGCTTTTAGGGCTCTATTCAGGTTAATGTCTGTGAATTGAAATTTATATAATTTGACATTGTTGTATTTTTGTTCTCTGACTACTTTTCACTTTATGGGTTCAGAGTACATGGAGTAATTGGATTTACTGAGAGTTACGCTTTTTGTCAAAAGAGTAGGCAAATTGACATGATGGCTAAAGAATTAAAGGTATATAAAAAGAAGTGACTGTAAGAATTATTAATGAGATTTCACCTGGGTAAAGATGGAAATAAGGATATCATGGAGGTAGGTAAGAGATAATGAAATGGTGGTATGATATCAATTTAAGTGCATTGTGTGCAGAAAGGACTGTGCATAATGGTTCTAGAAGGAGTGAAACCTGAGGATCAGAGAGTGAAACTGACCAAACAGAGATTATAGTAGAGTTTCAGCTACTTGTAATGATAAGGTCTAAGGTATTATCACGACAGCATGTTTCTGAATTATGGAGTAGGGCATGATTGTCGATTAGGAGCTCAAAGAATTGAGATACCAAGATGTTGAATAGTTCATTCACAAATGTATTTGAATTGAAGACAGGAAAAGTGTTGGAGAGAGTGACCACTAACCAGGAGATAATATCATGGAAATGAAGGATAGTTAGCTTTTAAAAGGTACAAGGAAGAGTTCTGGGAGGCAGGGAATGCTGAATGATGGGGAAATAATTAGCATGCGTTCTGGGAATTACAGTGTGAACAATTAGGAGGCACCGTAAGTCTGGAGTTTTTGTTATGACTGATATGAATAAGGAACAGGGGGAATAATGACTTTCATGGACTTAGAACAGAATGTGGTAGTAAGTTGGAGGGTTAGGGTATATGAAGGGATGGATATGTAGGTCTCCCTCTTGACTGCTACGAACGCAGACAAATAAAGCCAAGGTAGGTTAGTCCTCGAGTATGACCCTTAGTTCTGATTAATTTATGGGGAGGTAGGACTTATTCTAAGTGAGTGAAGTTCTTTATTGAACACTGCTAATGGAGGTGAGATTATCTGTGTGCCTATCTTCAAGCAAAAGCTCTCTACACCATTGCAAAATGTCAAATGTTTCCTAAAACACCAAAACCAATGATAAGCGTCAGAATAATTCACCTGAATTTCTGCTTCTTTTCTCAAAGGAAAATAAATACATGATGTCTTACATGTCTAATGGCTTGTTACAGAAGTCTTACCCTTATGTTGTGCTTATTGTGAGCCAGGGAAACATGTAAGCCCTTTATTTAAATTAACTTATTGCATCCTTATAGTAACCCTGAGATATAAATTCTAACTCTATATTCATTTATAGAAGCAGAAACTGAGAGATTAAAAAAAAAAAAACTTAATTATATTTCCCCAAATCACAAAGTCAGTGAATGACAGTATCTGGCCTCAAGAGTCTGCTCCAGAATGTATGCCCTAATCGCTGCCCTGCACATTGTGATGCACAAACTCATTTTTCCTGGGAGATATTTAAAAAAAAACAAAAACAAAACGAAAACACCATTCAACCCCAGGCCGGGTAGAACTGATTACTCCATTCCCTATACCTCCACTATATTCAGTTAGCACTTTGATTAAATCACTAGTCACGTTTTTGTTTCTTTATCTAAGTTCAGCCCCCCTCATGTTGCAGAAGGCAAGGACTGAGGCATAGGTCATGCCTGTTCTCACATATTCCATCCACTAGTCACATAATTTTTTTTCAAAAGGCCCAAGTGTTTGTATATTTGTTGATTTATTCATTGCTGATGTCATCCTATGCTTTTTGGAGCCCTTTTCAGCAGCAGGACTAGTTTTCGACTCCACTAAGTCTGGAGCCCTAGTGGTGCGGTGGCTAAAGAACTATATGGCTGCTAACCAAAAGGTCGGTACTTCAAATCCACTAGCTGCTTCCTGGAAACCCTATAGGGCAGCTCTACTCTGTCCAATAGGGTCACTATGAGTCGGAATCAACTGGACGGCAACAGGTTTGGTTCTTTTGGTTTATTCTAAGTCTTACATTGTGGCTGAACTAATATAGAAGGTCTGGTAGTATTGGGGAACTCTTTCTTCTTCACTAGTGGATGAAATACTTCTTTTTTTTTTAAATTTTATTTTACTCCTGGTGTATACTTGTTTGTTTGGGAAGGTTGGAGCTTTTGTTATGCGTGTGAATAAAATGTTTCAGATTTCCTAATTAAATCCATTCTGCTTGGCCAAGTTACATGACTTGACTTTTTTTCAATGTTTTGTTTTGTATTTCATCCCTTCAGTGGGTTTGCAGGTTTGTTGTTGTTTTATGTGTCTTTTGTTTTTGTTTTTCTTAGAACTGGACCAAGGCTGGGTAAGCAACTTGAGGGCTCTTCACTTAGACTGTGCTCTATGTGAAATGCACCTCATGGACTTGTGCCACGCACACATCCTGACTGGCCATTATCTGGACTGGATCTTGGATGAGTTTGAATAGATTCACTTGATTTATGATTCTGGCACCCATAAGATACAGGGGACTACAATGGTTGAGCAGTGCATGCTACCATCTCCAAATACATTTCTTAGATATGGAAGTCATGGGTATCAACTACATCATCTAAAGAACTTGAATTTTCCTTGTGTCTTAGGGATGTAAACACCTGGCCCATCTGGCCCATCCCTTATTAGTTTTGACACATCTGTGACAGTTAAAAACTAAGAAGTAAACATTTCTATAGAATTCAGAGAAAATGTTTCCATAGAATGAAAGTAGAAAACCCTTACCTTCTAAACATTTGGTCTTATCTACTTCCCAAAATATAAATTACCTAGTATCTTTCTCTCTGAGTAGCTAAATATTTTCTTTTCCTTCATTCTTCCTCTCTCTCTCTTTTACTCTTTTTTTTTATTGGATCAATTACTTTCAACTCTGATTTGTTCCATGAATTCCTTTCACAGACACATGCACACACATACAGAAACACACATCCTCTTTGGAATCTATAACTGCAAATGTCGTTAGTGCAATAGCTGAAAAAAGAGACAGCATTCAAAAACTGGTTACCATAGCGGCCACCATGGCTAGGTTATTTCTGTGTACCCTATTGGAGACACCTCAAGAATTCCTACAAGTCACATGATGAGTCAGCCAGGGAGAAAGTTCAGAAATTCAGAGAGATGGTCAGATTCTGTAATCACTCCACCCACAGATCATTTCTATGTATTTATTGTTCATACACAGAAAAAAGTAAATGGCTCCTTGAATTTTGTTGTTGGAGTTTTTAATCATTATCACAACAGTAGAATCCTTTCTTTCTGTTGGATTTAATTGTTCTGATTACTTTAAGAGTGAACAAAGTTTTTGAAATTAAAACTGTCTACAGAATTGGGAAGAATTTATTGTCCTGTACCGTAACTGTCAGCTGTAATTAGTGACTTTATATGGCCTTGAGAATATTTTTTCACTTTGGTGCCCATCATGGATAAAAAGACTCCAAGAAAATGTTAGAAGAGGAAATCTGGAAATAACCAGCAGCTGGTGCACAAACATGCTTTTCTTAATCAACTATAATCTATGATGCCAAGAATATAATAGAATTTGAAAAAAGTCAGGATTACAGAAACCTCATTGAGTTGAAATGCATGGGTGCCATAATATGTTAACACATTTTAATAGCTTGTGTAATATTATACCTTACCACATGCATAATAAAATATATGGGTAGATTAAAAAAATAATGATTAATCACAAAGTGTTTGTTGTGAATTATAGTGGTTTTTGGAGCTTCAACTATCTCATTAAAACTGTAAAGTGGTGGTGACAAAAGACCTGTAATTTCAGGGGGGATAATGATAATGTCAGAAGAGACCCTGACACTTGCTCTTGAAAGTCGAGTAGCTAAAGCAAAAGGAAGAAATGATGAAGAAAAAACTGGACAGAAGATTTCTAAGGGCGGCTTGAGAAGACAAAGGGAAGTATTACAATGACATGTGCAAAGAACTGGAGATAGAAAACCAAAAGGGAAGAACACGCTCAGCATTTCTCAAGCTGAAAGAACCGAACTAACAACTCAAGTCTCGAGTTGCAATACTGAAGGATTCTATGGGGAAAATATTTAAAGACACAGGAAGCATCAAAAAAAGATGGACGGAAAAAAAAATAGGGACAACACTAGGAGCCCTAATACATGGCATAAACACAATACGAACCATAAGTAACAATGCACAAGCACCAGAAGAGAGACTAGATAACTGGGAGCTCCTAAAAATCAAACACTTATGCTCATCAAAAGACTTCACCAAAAATATCATTAACCCGGGGAACCTCATAGCATCAAGAAAGCAGTGCCAGGAGCAGAGCGCATCCTTTGGACTGGGGTCCCTGTGCCGAGAAGCTCCTAGTCCAGCGGAACATTGATGAGAAAGCCAACAGAGAGAAAGCCTTCCCCTGGAGGTGATGCCCTGAATTTGGACTTTTAGTCTACTTTACTGTAAGGAAATAAATTTCTTTGTTAAAGCCATCCACTTGTGGTATTTCTGTTGTAGCAGCACTGGATAACTAAGATAGAATTTGGTACCAAGAGAGTGCTGCTCTAACAGATGTCTAAAATGTGGAAGCGGTTTTCAGACTGTGAATGGATAGCGGTGCGGTAGTGACAGAGGACCAGCAGCAGCAGAGAAATGGCAGTGGCAGAGAACCAACAGCAGCAGAACCAGGAGACCAGTGCCAGATGGCGCTGGAGCCAACCCACGGACCAAGAGAGCTGAGTGCCTGCGTGCACGAGGCTTTCTGGCAGAGTGGGGTGCCTCCGGGCACTTACTGGTGGAGCTCTTGAACTTTGGAACACTTGCCCAACCAGGGCAGATACGGGTGTGAGGCCCGAGGGCCTAGAGGCCACAGGAAAAAGAAGCTGAAGAGACAAGGAACACAAGAAGCCGAGCTGCCTCAGTCTCAAAAGTGACTAAAATGCTGAGCTGCTTCTGTCAAACCCTCGGGCGGCGGTCAGCGTGTAAGCATGCTGAGAAGGAGTGACTCCGAGAAGCTCAGCGAGCTGCCACACACATTCCTGCTGCTGGAGATGCTAAGTCCATCATCACGTGTCGGGTGTCCCTCCTGGATGGTACTGATGTTAGTGTGGACTTGCCGAAAAAAGCCAAAGGACAGGAGCTGTTTGATGAGATCATGTACCACCTGGACCTTATTGAAGGTGACTATTTTGGACTGAGATTTATGGATTCAGCACAAGTAGCACACTGGTTGGATGGTACAAAGAACATCAAAAAGCAGGTAAAAATTGGTTCACCCTATTGCCTGCATCTTTGAGTTAAGTTTTATTCCTCAGAACCAAATAATCTTCATGAAGAGCTAACGCGGTATTTATTTGTTCTTCAGTTAAAACAAGATATCCTCAGTGGAAAGTTAGAATGTCCTTTTGATACAGCAGTTCAGTTGGCAGCATATAACCTGCAAGCTGAACTTGGTGATTATGATCTTGCTGAGCGTAGTCCTGAACTTGTATCTGAGTTCAGGTTTGTGCCCATTCACACTGAAGAGCTGGAGCTGGCTATTTTTGAGAAATGGAAAGAATACAGAGGTCAGACACCAGCACAAGCTGAAACCAATTATCTGAATAAAGCCAAGTGGCTGGAAATGTATGGAGCTGATATGCATGTGGTCAAGGCTAGAGACGGGAATGACTATAGCTTGGGACTAACTCTAACAGGAGTCCTTGTTTTTGAAGGAGAGACCAAAATTGGCTTATTGTTTTGGCCCAAGATAACGAGATTGGATTTTAAGAATAAATTAACCCTGATGGTTGTAGAAGATGATGATCAGGGCAAAGAACAGGAACATACATTTGTCTTTAGACTGGAACACCCAAAAGCATGCAAACACTTATGGAAATGTGCTGTGGAACATCACGACTTCTTCCGCCTCTGAGGCCCTGTCCAAAAGAATTCTCATCGATCAGGATTCATTAGATTAGGATCATGATTTAGATATAGCGGGAAAACTGAGTATCAGACCACAAAAACCAATAAAGCAAGAAGATCAGCAACCTTTGAAAGAAGGCCCAGCAAACGATATTCTCGAAGAACTGTACAAATGAAAGCAAACACAGCAAAACCTGAAGAACTCCGTGTTCACAATAATGTTTCAACTCAGAATGATGGCTCCCAACAGGCGTGTGGTCTGAGACCTCCTCTGCCTGTGATGTCTCCCCTTCCCTGTGGTCCTGCACTGGCGGAGAAAGAGAATGTTCCTCGGAGTCCTGGGGTAGACCAGCACGACAGGAAATGGCTGTCTGTGGCCAGTGACTGCTGCCAACGTGGTGGACACCAGTGGAGCACAAAGGCCTGGCCCCCACCCCAGACTGCACATAGAAACTACACTGACTCTGTCCATGAGCACAGTGTGAAGAAGGCAGGAATCCACCACGATGCTTCCCTGGCCATTCAGCCATGATCGAGATATGAGCATCATGCAAGCTGATGGTGTCCATTTTCTAGTGTATAGAGGGAATTGATCACATCAGCAGAATTTGGGAGAAGCTGTTTTATGCTGAGTCACTATTTGTGTAGTACTGTTTGTAATTAATTTTTCTCTGAAAGGGAAAAGGACCTAAAGAAGCTACATGTCATCGGTGATAATGACAAAAGATTTTTTGTTGAGAAGAGTATTATATCATTGTAATTTTGGAAAGGTTTTTCATGATTTCAGCATGCTAACACGTTACTTAGAAGATGTCTTAGGAGAAGGTTGTGTCTGTGAAGAAGCCGCCCTTTATCACCTCATCCATGCCATGCCAAATAGAGGGACAGTCAAAGAAGCAGACAGACTAAAAGCACCCTCAGAAGGAAGTATGTCCAGGCACGGTGCAGCAGCCTCTGTGCCGTTTTTATAAAACTTACTCTCACACCCTATTCTTAGTCTTTCTAAAGTTGATCAGGCCTGAATTTCAGTTAAAATGTCAAAGATTTTGTAATTTTAATTTTAAAAATTTACTTTTTAATAAACACAAGTATTGTAAGTTGCCAGAAGGTCTAAAAATCACATTAATAATGTGTTTCATGTAGAGAGATAAATTTAATTACTATTGAATAGTTATTCAAAATGGACAATGTATTCCCTTTTTCTTTTCATTTTTCTCTTTTGTCTCGTGGACCTTGCCCAGGTTAGCAGCAGCCTGGTGATTTGGCTTTGTGCAGCCCTCACAATAAAATCTGAAGCCAGACGGCTCATCTTCAGACGCAGTGTCTATGTTTTCCTAGTTCTCGTCCTTCAGGAACTTCAGAGTGTGATTATCCGAGCTCTCTGGTTTGATTCATCCAGGCAAATTAGCTGCAAAAGGACATTTCGAATGTAATGGGGAAGTGATATAAAAAGTGCATTTTGGATGTAATGGGAAAGTGATATACTTAATTTTTAAAAATTTTTTCTGAAGTTAAAAAAATATATATATCATTAACCCTAAAAAAGACGCACCAAAATTTACAATAATACCACACCCGATTCCCCTGCTAACAATTAACCCCAAGCCTCCATAAATAGGAGAAGGTTTTGAAGAAAACCCAATAAAACCAACCACAAGAAGAACACTCATCACAAAAACTACATATATCATTATTCCTACATGGACTATAACCATGACCAATGACATGAAAAATCACTGTTGTTTTTCAACTATAAGCACTCCTAATGACCAACATCTGAAAATCACACCCACTAATTAAAATTCTCCACCACTTCTTCATTGATCTCCCCACCCCCTCAAACATTTCAGCATGATGAAATTTCGGTTCACTTCTTGGAGCATGCCTAATCATCCAAATCCTCATAGGGCTATTCCTAGCCATACATTATATATCAGATACACTAATTGCGTTCTCATCACTCACCGATATCTGCCAAGATGTAAACTATGGCTGAATCATCCGATACCTCTATGCCAACAGAGCATCAATATTTTTCATCTGCCTATATGCCCACATTGGACGCGGAATTTACTACAGCTCCTACCTATACCTAGAAAGCTGAAACATCAGAATCGTACTACTATTCACAGTCATAGCCACCACCTTCATAGGATATGTCCTCCCATGAGGACACATATTCTGAGGAGCAACCTTAATTACCAACCTTCTCTCAGCAATCCCCTACATTGGCACCGACTTAGTCGAATGAATCTCAGGAGGATTCTCGGTAGACAAAGCCACCCTTACCCGATTCTTCACCTTCCACTTTATCCTACCCTTTGTCTTAACTGCCCTAGTAGCAGTCCACCTCCTATTCCTCCATGAAATAGGATCAAACAACCCAACAGGACTCATCTCTGACTCAGACAAAATTCCATTCCACCCCTACTACTCATCAAAGACCTCCTAGGCTTCTTCTTCCTCATCTCATTCCTACTCCTACTAACCCTATTTTCCCCAGACATACTAGGAGATTCGGACAATTATACACCAGCCAACCCACTAAGCACCCCATCCCACATTAAGCCAGAATGATACTTCCTATCCGCATACGCCATCCTTCGATCTATCCCCAAAAAACTCGGAGGAGTCTTAGCCCTAGTCCTCTCTGTTCTAATCTTAGCACTACTCCCACTTCTCCACACATCCAAAAAACGAAGCCTAATATTTCAACCACTCAGCCAGTGTCTGTTCTGAATCCTAGTAGCTGACTTAATTACACTTACATGAATCGGCGGCCAACCAGTAGAACACCATACATCATTATTGGCCAACTAGCCTCAATCCTATACTTTCCCATCATCCTGATCTTTATGCCCATTGCAGGTTTAATTGAAAACAACCTCCTTAAATGAAGGTCCTCATAGTATAACTTATTACAATGGTCTTGTAAACCATAAATGTAGATTTATCTTCCAAGGACATTCAGGGAAGAAGCTATCTGCTCCACCGTCAACACCCAAAGCTGAAATTCGGCTTAAACTATTCCCTGCTTTAAACTTGCTATGTGCATCGTGCATTATGTATATCTCCCCATTAGTTGTACTATATATGCTTTTTCTTGCATACTCCATTCTATATATAATTGTGCATCACATTATATACCCCATGTGTATAAGCAAGTACTGTAGGATTCATGCTGTAGAACTTACCATGATCAATACCCATTACATTTACCATACCATGAATATTCTTATCTCAATTAGCTTCTTGACATTGCATAGTACATTAGGTCCTTTATTGTACAAAGCACGTCTCTGACATAGCTCTTGTCAACATGCTTATCACCTCCATTAACCAGTCCTTGGTCACCAAGGTTCGAGAAACCAGCAACCACTCAGGTTATGCCTCTTTTCTCGCTCTGGGTCCGTAACTTGTGGGGGTTTCTATCCTGAATCTATACCTGGCATCTGGTTCTTTCTTCAGGGCCATCTCACTTAAAATCGCCCACTCATTCCCCTTAAATAAGACATCTCGATGGACTAATGACCAATCAGCCCATGATCATAACATAACTGTGGTGCATTTGGTATTTTTAACTTTTGGGGATATTGTGACTCAGCTTTGGCCATCTGAGGCCTTAACACAGTCAAATAACTTGTAGCTGAGCTTAAATTGAATATTAAGCTCTGGCACAATTTCCCATAAGGTGTTATTCAGTCAATGCTCGAGGACGTAAAATTTACTAAACCCAAATTCCCAGCAAATGTGCATACGCACACGCACATGTACACGCGTACGCACATGCATACGTACGTTAACCATGGAATTATCTCACACAAACCCCCATACCCCACTTAATTACCCTTGACTAGATTTCTATAAGTATTTTTTTATCTTGTCAAACCCCAAAAGCAAGATATACTATAGATGAGAAAGGATACGGACAAACTACAAAAATTCGCTTACTAGTATTTTAATTAATTGAGACAACTCCTTTTTCCCCTAATACCAGTATGCCCCTTTAATTAATTTACTTTCTTTTTAAGAGCTACATCCCTAGATCTGAAATTCCTAAACCTTACAATTTGCTCTAAAGTAGCTCTTGAAGTGTCCCTATTAATGTAGCTTAAACCCAAAGCAAGGCGCTGAAGGTGCCTGGATGAGCCCCTCAGTGCCATAAACACAAAGGTTTGGTCCTGGCATTCTTACTAGTTTTTAGTAAGCTTATACATGCAAGTATCCACACACCAGTGAGAATGCCCTTTAAATTATGACTGATCAGAAGGAGCGGGTATGAAGCACACACTCATGTAGCTCATAACACCTTGTTCAGCCACACCCCCACGGGATACAACAGTAGTAAAAATTTAGCTATAAACGAAAGTTTGACTAAGCTATACTAATAGAGGGTGGTCAATTTCGTGCCAGCCACCGCGGTCATACGATTAACCCAAATTAATAAGTACCTGCATAAAGCGAGTTTAGGAGCAAAACAAAAAATAAAGTTAAATCGAGTCTAAGCTGTAAAAAGCCAAAGATTTGACAAAAATAACCTATGAAAGTGACTTTACTAGCTCTGAATACACGAAAGCTAAGACACAAACTGGGATTAGATGCCCCACTATGCTTAGCCCTAAACTTCAATAACTGCCAACAGTTATTCGTCAGAGAACTACTAGCAAAGGCTTAAAACTCAAAAGACTTGGCGGTGCTTTACATCCCCCTAGAGGAGCCTGTTCCCTAATCGAGAAACCCTGATAAACGTCACCACCACTTGCTAATTCAGTCTATATACTGCCATCTTCATCAAACCCTTAAAAGGTATAAAAGTAAGCTCAATAATAACCTTACAAAAGTTAGGTCAAGGTGTAGCCCATGTTGTGGTCTAAGATGGGCTACATTTTCTCTTCAAGAACATCACTAAACGGACGTCATTATGAAATGAATGACTGAAGGAGGATTTAGCAGTAAATTAAGAATAGAGAGCTTAATTGAATCAGGCCATGAAGCACACACACACCGCCCATCACCCTTCTCAAATATTTATAACTGCGCAACCATATTCAAACTTAACCAGATATGAAAGGAGATAAGTCATAACAAGGTAAACATACTGGAAAGTGTGCTTGGATCACTCAAAGTGTAGCTTAACTTAAGGCACCTGGCCTACACCCAGAAGATTTCATTTAACATTGACCACTTTGAACTAAACCTAGACCAACTTCCCTTAAACTCAACTATCACAATCAACTAAATTAAAACATTCAATTACCAGTAAAAGTATAGGAGATAGAAATTAAATCTAGGCGCTATAGAGACAGTACCACAAGGGAAAGATGAAAGACGAATTTATAATACAAAACAGCAAAGATTAACCCTTTTACCTTTTGCATAATGAATTAACTAGGATAATCTGACACAGCGAACTGTAGCCAGAAACCCTGAAACCGATGAGTTACCTGCAGGCAGTCTGAAGGACTAACTTGTCTATGTAGCAAAATAGTGAGAAGACCTACAGTTACAGGTGAAAAGCCAATCGAGCCTGGTGATAGCTGGTT